CTCAATCATTTATACAGGGAAGTAGACCGTGTGACCAGCATACCGTGAGAGCTAAGTGTTATACATCTGTTAGGAGAATATAGCCTCTCGTAGAGTGCAAACCTACAAGTAGACCATAAAGTATGCAGTACCCTAGATCACATAAATCATATTTGATATAGTCTCAAAATCTGATATATCATTATTTCTTGTATTCACAATCATAATTCATAAGTTATAATTGGTGCACCATTGAATACAAATAAATGAGATTCCATGAATGATCTTCCTCTTCTCACTATTCTCTTAACATTTGTATGACTGTTTTTCTAGATATGCTTCGCTAAACCGAATCTGTGTTCATGATCTTTTGGAAATACACTAAGATAGCTAGCATCACACTAAGTCTCAAGTATCTGATCAGAGTCTTTGAGGGTACAAAATCTTGAGCCGTCATAAAAGCTCTGGGTCTCACTCAATAATTAGTTGAGAATAGGCTTATGTTAACCCAATTAGTCAAAATTAGCACACATGATATGAGACATGTGCTACAATATTTTCTCCTTTTTTCCAAGAAGCGTATGTCTTTATCTCATAAAGAATGTTGTACAGATGATATTCAGACACCATAAGTATCTAAATTTGAGTTCTTTGATCTACAATAACATTTTTATCTCATATATGGCTCACAAAGTAGATTATGTGAACGTTTTCACCCTAATGACCTTATGTCATTGTTTAAGCGACATTCTGATATTAAGCGAATAGCTCTCAAATTATCATTATGATAATTTTGCTTAAAATCATGTCTCATCTCCTCACATCATTAACATAAGTAGGAAGTTGCCTGAGTGAGAAAGCAAGCCTCTTGTCTACCCAGCATACTTATAAAAATAAATGAACAAAGAATGCACATAACATTCAGCAATATAAATATGTATGTATGTAAATCAACTTTATTGATAATCAAAGAACATTAGTTTGTGAATACGGGAAAATGAATAACAAAATGAAGAATATCAAAGTCTACGCAAGCTTTAAGACCTAGTGTGTCTCACAAATTTATCTCTAGACAAAGTCTTGGTCAATCTGCTAACATATCTTTTGTAGATACATACTTCACATTCACTACCTTGCGTCTAACCATGTCTCTCGTATATTTATACTCGATATCTATGTGTTTGGTTTTACAATGAAACTTAGGGTCCTTGGTAGAGGATATTGCAGCTTCACTATCACAGTAGACTAACACTAGTTCAGCATTTTCTGTAATATCCAACAAGTGTTCCAAGAACTTTTTCAACCAAACAACTTCATGTGCTAATGATACTAGAGCCACGTATTCGGCTTCCATTGTAGATAGTGATACACATGATTGTTTCTTACTACTCCATGATATGGCGCCATCACTGAGTAAGAAAACATATCCTGAGGTAGACTTCCTTTCATCTAGATCTCCTCCATGATTAGCATCACTGTATCCAACTAATCGCAGATCATTGCTACCTTGATGACAAAACACATAATCAACAGTTCCCTTCAGATATCTCATGATCCTTTTTACTGCTTGCCAATGTTCTAAACCTGTCAGTTTTATATCTACTTACCAAGCCAATTGCTTTACAGATATCAAGTCTAGTGCACACCATAGCATACATTATACTTTCGACTGCGCTCCTATTAGGAACTCGACTCATTCTTTCTGTCTCTTCATGTGTCTTAGGACACATCTGACTTCCCAAAGTATGGCCTTTACTGATAGGAGTTTCAATTGGGCTACTATTTTGCATATTGAATCGTTCAAGAACTTTTCTAATGTAATTTTCTTATGAGAGATACAATAGTTTCTTTGGACGATCTCTTGAAATCTTATCTCCAAGAATATATGCAGTTTCACCCATATTTTTCATCTCAAATTGAGATGATAACCATGACTTTATCTTGGTTATAAACTCCTTATCATTTCCAGCTATAAGTATGTCATCTACGTACAATTTTAAAATCATAAGCTTGTTCCTTGAGCTTTTGATATAAACACAATGGTCTTCATCCATCATGGTATAATCATTAGATACAACAACCTTCTGAAAATGTATATACCACTGCCTTGAAGATTGTTTGAAGCCATAAATAGACTTCAAAAGTCTATATGTTAGCCCTAGCTTCTTTAATACAACCAAGTCTATATTAGTGTTTTAGCAATAGAGAAAGAGAAACCCTAACTTCTCTTCCTTCTCATTGTAGCGCCGCCTATTTTGTGGAAGAAAAGAAACCAATATTTCTCTTTCTTCTTCCTTTCTTTTCTGCCACCATAGCCATTGGAGCACGAAGTTCTGACTTTTCGATGTATAGTATTAGAGAAAAAAAGTGGTAGCTTCATCTCCGTGCTACTGCTTATTGTTGCTCCTCGTCGTTGTCACGATCCGATTTCCCCTCACTGCCCTTCGTGCGAGTTCGTCTACTGGAACCCTCATTTTCACTACTATTAAGACATCGTGACAGCACCTAGTCTCTACGACTAGGTAAGCCTAAACAATTACGGAAATAACAGGAACAAAAGTAAAACTCACAACTAACTGCAACAATAATAACATAACTGAAAACCATGCCACTCGGCATATACGATAACCAAGTCCTCAATACTACACAGTCTTCTCAAAACCCGGAACATCGTGAGTCACAAAATATAGAAGGAAAACTAGTGTCTCTATGTAGCAGAGTCTAACAAGAAGTACAGAAGATAATGGACATAGGGAAGAATAAAGGGGACTCCGAGATTTGCGGACGCGACAGATGTATCTTGAAGTCTCCGTAGCGGCAGTAGGTACACAACTAATAGTAAGGCTGGAATGATGTACCTGGATCCGCACAGGAAAAACATGTGCAGAAGAGTAGCATGAGTACACCACAACGGTACCCAGTAAGTGCCAAGCCTAACCTCGATCGAGTAGTGACGAGGTCAGGTCAGGGCCCTACCGGTATATATATATAAAGTAAGACGGAATGAAATATCGCAGTATAATAAAGGACTGAATCGTAACAAGAAGGAAATCACATAAAATAATACAGTACATCATACAGAAATAACAATAGGGGATCTCCCGAGATACCGTCTCGTAGTCCCAAAAGTAAACGTGCATGGGGATCTCCTGGGATACCATCCCATAGTCCCAAAGTAAATATGCAGGGGGATCTCCCAAAATACTGTTCCGTAGTCCCAAAAGAAATGTGCATGGGGATATCCTAAGATACCGTCCCGTAGTCCAAAAGTAAATATGCAGGGGGATCTCCTGGGATACCGTCCCGTAGTCCCAACGTAAATATGCAGGGGGATCTCCCGAAATGTCGTTCCATAGTCACAAAATAAATACACAGCTCAAAGAATGGAGATAACAACTATAACACAAAATCCTATAGTTTAAACTAAGTACAAGTCAAGTAAGAAGCACGAAATCCACTAAGCATGCTGCACGGAATTCAGATAAGCATTTAAGACACGTAGGCCTGTTGTTCTAGGATAAACATGATAATTACACATGCCAGTATAACTCAATTAAAGTGAAACAGATCATTACTCAGTGAAAAATGGGGTTTTACAACAATTAGCCTGTGTACGTATTTGTCACTTCACGTACACGGCGCTCACATATAATAACAGTACCAAATCCTAAGGGGAGTTCTCCCACACAAGGTTAGGCAAGCCAGTTACCTCTAACCAAGCTCAATCAATCCGTAACAATGCCTTTTCCACGAATATCCGACTCCGAATGGCCCAAATCTAGCCAAAAGCAATTACATATCATAAATATAACTATAATAGACTAACCTAATTAATGAAATCAAGACTTTGTTAAGAATTTTGAAAATCGCCCTAAAAAGTCTCCCCGGGACCACGTCACGGAATCAGGTAACACTCACAAAATATGAACACCCATTCGCTCACGAGATCACTCGAACCAAAATTATCCAAATATAACAACAACGACCCGGTATAGTCCCACAAGTGGGGTCTGGGAAGGGTAGTGTGTACGCGACCTTACCTCTACCCCGATGGGGTAGAGAGGCTGTTTCCGATAGACCCTCGGCTCAAGAAGTCGAGAAGACGAAAAGAGACAATATATCAGTACCATCAATAAAAAACCATGGGAAGTATAACAACATCACAAGAACCAGTGAATAAATGGAAAGCAGAATAATAACCAATAAATAAGGCCCTACACTATGATAACGGAAGAGTAGTGTAAACACAACACTGACCACTAGCAATCTAAGACTAAATCCTATCAGCCTAGCCTCACACTGGTAGACTAAATGAACTCAACTACCTCTTAACCTACAACCTTAATGCTCGACCTCCACAGTTTCCTATCGAGTGCCATGTCCTCGGATCTGAAGCCTCGCCATATTTCGCCTAATCACCTCTCCCAAATACTTCTTAGGCCGCCCTCTACCTCTCCTCGTACCCACCAATGCCAACCACTCGCACCTCCTTACCGGGGCATCCAAGCTCCTCCTCTGTACGTGGCCGAACCATCTGAGCCTCACTTCCCGCATCTTGTCATCAATAAGAGCCATGCCCACCTTCTCCCGAATATCTTCATTCCTAATCTTATCCATCCTAGTGTGCCCGCACATCTACCTCAACATCCTCATTTCTTCTACTCTCATCTTCTGGTATGCGAGTTCTTAACTAGCCAACACTCAGCCCCATACAACATGGCCAGCCTAACCACCGCTTTATAAAACTTACCTTTGAGTAGCGGAGGTACTTTCTTGTCACACAGGACTCCAGATGCTAACCTCCATTTCATCCACCCCACCTCTATACGGTGTGTGACATCCTCGTCGATCTCCCCATCCCTCCGGATAATCGAACTAAGGTATTTGAAACTGGCTCTCTTGGAAATGACCTGCAATCCAAGCCTCACATCCATGCCCGCTTCCCTCGGCTTGGGACTGAACTTGCACTCATGATACTCCGTCTTCGTCCTGCTCAACTTGAAACCCTTAGACTCAAGGACCTATCTCCAAAGCTCCAGCCTATAGTTAACGCCACTCCTCATTTTGTCAATCAGAACAATGTCATCAGTGAATAACATACACCATGGCGCTTCTCCTTGAACATGGTGTGTCACTGCGTCCATCACCAGAGCAAGTAAGAATGGGATGAGCGTCGATCCTTTGTGTAACCCCATAACAACCGGAAAATGCTCAGAGTCACCTCCCACTGTCCTAACCCAAGTCTTAGCTCCATCATACATGTCCTTAATCGCCCAAATGTAAGCAACTGGCACACCTTTAGCCTCTCGGCATCTCCAAAGAACCTCTCTAGGAACCTTGTCATACGCTTCTCCATATCAATAAACACCATGTGCAAATCCTTCTTCCTAATTCATGTACTGTTCCACCAACCTCGTAATAAGATGGATAGCTTCCGTAGTAGAACGACCCGGCATGAACCCAAACTGGTTGTCTGATACAGACACCGTCCTCCTCACCCTAGCTTCTACTACCCTCTCCCAAACTTTCATGGTATGACTCAATAATTTGATACCCCTATAGTTGTTGCAACTTCGATGTCACCTTTGTTCTTGTACAACGGAACCACCGTACTCCACCTCCACTCGTCTGGCATCCTCTCCTAAAAATAACATTAAACAACTCAGTCAACCACTCCAAGCCGGCTCTACACACACACCTCCAAATCCGATATCAAAATTCCAATCAAAACCCAAAATCTTAGTTGAAGAACTTCTACCCTTTTCCCCCCAAATTTCTCAACCAAAATCCTTAATTAAATGATGAAATCAACCATAGATTAGTGGGATATAACCATAAAGGAGTTAAGAATCGTTACCCAAAAGCTTTCTCGGAAAATTCTTCAAATAATCGCCCAATCCAAGCTCTCAAAGTACCAAAATTTAAAATGGGATAAAACCCTCAAACTTGCCCTTTTCTGCCCAGCGATTTTGCATTTGCGGGGCTATAATCGCACCAGCACGCCGCACCTACGGAAATTCCATCGCATGTGCGGACTTAATTTTAATCCCTTAGGTCCGCATCTGCGATAAGGTGGCCGCACTTGTGTGTGCGCACCTGTGGACAATGCTCCGCTTCTGCGATATCCCTCCACACCTACGGTCCCTCTAGCGCATCTGCCGGCATCGCAGATGCGGCATTTCCCTCGCACCTATGACCCCTGGAAACTCTTCCCATCTCCACTTCTACACCTAACCTCACGCACGTGCGATCCCGCACTTGCGGTCACGACACCGCAGGTGCGAAAACACCAGATGCCTGAAGACTTCAGCAATAACACAAGTCCAATTTTCGATCCGTTAAGCATCCGAAACTCACCCGAGGTCCCCGGGACCTCAACCAAACGTACCAACCAGTTCTAAAACACCATAAGAACTTAGTCGAGCTCTCAAATCACATCAAACAACGCTAAAAACACGAATCACCCTCCAATCCAAACTTAATAAACTCGAAACTTCAAATTTCTACAACCGATGCCGAAACCTATCAAACCATGTACGATTGACCTCAAATTTTGCGCGCAAGTCATATTCAACATTATGAACCTATTCCAACTTCCAGAATCTGAATCCGACCCCGATATCAAAAAGTACACTACCGGTCAAAATCTCCAAAAATTCAACTTTCGCATTTCAAGCCTAAATCAGCTACAGACCTCCAAAACACAATCCAGACACGCCCCTAAGTCCAAATCACCCAACGGAGCTAAAGGAACCGATGAAACTCCATTCCGGAGTCATCTTCACACAGTTCCGACTACGGACAAAATCCTAAGGCTTAAGCTTCCGTTTAGGGACTAAGTGTCCCAAAATACTCTAAAAACCAAAACAAAACCTCCCGCCAAGTAACATAAGCTGAAACAGGTGCGGGGAAAGTAGTAAATGGGGGATCGAGGCTAATACTCTCAAAACGACCGGCCGGGTCGTTACATCCTCCCCCTCTTAAAACAACCATTTGTCCTCGAACTAGTATAGAGACACACCTGAAGTGGTGAAAAGATGAGGATAACGGTTGCGCATATCCTACTCGGTCTCCCAAGTCGCCTCCTCGACCGGCTGACCCCTCCACTGAACCTTCACTGAAGCAATGTTCTTTGACCTCAACTTTTGAACCTGCCTGTCCAAAATAGCCACTGGCTCCTCAACATAAGGTAGATCCTTGTCCAACTGGACTGAGCTGAAATCTAACACGTGAGACGGATCTCTGTGATACTTCTAGAGCATAGAAACGTGGAATAGCGGATGAACTCCTACTAGACTGGGAGGTAAGGCAAGCTCATAAGAAACCTCCCCAACTCGCCGCAACACCTCAAGTGGACCAATGAACCTTGGGCTCAGCTTGCCTTTCTTCCCAACCTCATGACGCCTTTCATAAGCGAAACCCGGAGCAAGACCTACTCTCCAACCATTAATGCAACATCGTGAACCTTCCGATCCGCATAACTCTTCTATCTAGACCAGGCAGTGCGAATTTATCCTGAATCACCTTAACCTTCTCCAAGGCATCCTGAACCAAGTCTGTACCCAATAATCTAGCCTCGCCCGGCTCGAATCAACCAACTGGAGACCGATACCGCCTACCATATAGAGCCTCATACGGTGCCATCCGAATGCTGGACTAATAACTGTTATTGTAGGCAAACTTCACAAGTGGCAAGAACGGATCCCAAAAACCTCCAAACTCCATCACACACACACAGAGCATATCCACAAGTATCTGAATAGTGCGCTCGGACTATCCGTCCGTTTAAGGGTGAAATGTTGTGCTCAACTCCACCCGAGTAGCTAACTCATGTTGTAAGGCCCTCTAGAATCGTGATGTAAACTGCGTACCCCGATATGGGATGATAGATACCGGCACGCCATGAAGTCTGACAATCTCGCAGATATAAACTCGAGCCAGCTGCTCGAAAGAATAGGTGGTCATCACAGGAATGAAATGAGCTTACTTGGTCAGCCTATCCACAATCACCAAAACTTCATCAAACTTCCGTTGAGTCCGTGGGAGTCCAACAACAAAATTCATAGTGATGCGCTCCTATTTCCACTTTGGAATCTCTAACTTCTGAAGCAATCCACCCGGCCGCTGATGCTCATACTTCACCTGCTGGCAATTTAGGCACCGAGCTACATATTCCACTATGTCTTTCTTCATTCTATGCCACCAATAATATTATCTCAAGTCCTGACATCTTCGTGGCACCCGAATGAATGGAGTACCGCGAATTGTGAGCCTCCTGGAGAATCAGCTCACACAATCTGTCTACATTGGGAACACATAGCCTGCTCTACATCCTCAATGCACCATAATCTCCAATAGTGACCTCCTTAGCATCATCGTGCTAAACCGTGTTCTTAAGGACAAGCAGATGGGGGTCATCATACTGACGCTCCCTGATACGATCATAAAGAGAAAATTGGGAGACCACAAAAGACAAAACTCGACTCAGCTCAGAAATATCCATTCTAACAAACTGGTTGGCTAAGGCCTGAACATCCAGTGCCAATGGCCTCTCTGCTGCTGGCAAATATGCTAAGCTTCCCAAACTCTCCGCCCTGCGACTCAAGGCATCGGCCACCACATTGGCCTTCCCAGGATGGTACAGAATAGTGATATCATAATTCTTAAGCAGCTCTAACCACCTCCGCTGACACAAGTTAAGATCCTTTTGCTTGAACAGATGCTGCAAACTTCGGTGATCAGTGTAGATCTCATAAGGGATACCGTACAAATAGTGCCTCCAAATCTTCAAGGCATGAAAAATAGCCGCTAACTCAAGGTCATGGACAGGATAGTTCTTTTCATGTACCTTCAGTTGTTTGGACGCGTAGGCAATCACCCTACGGCCCTGCATCAACATCGTGCCAAGACCAATCCGCGACGCATCACAATAAACATTATAAGACCCTGAACCTATAGGCAATACCAATACTGGGGCTGCAGTCAAAGCTGTCTTGAGCTTTTGAAAGCTCTCCTCACACTTTGTCCACCTGAACGGAGTACCCTTCTGGGTCAGACTGGCCATAGGTACTGCAATAGATGAGAATCCCTCAACAAATCGACGGTAATACCCCGCCAAACCAAGAAAACTCCGAATCTCTGTAGCTGAGGACGGTTTGGGCCAAATTTGCACTACTTCTACCTTCTTCGGATCCACCTTGATCCCGTCACTCGACACTACATGACACAAAAATGCCACAGAATCTAACCAGAACTTACATTTTGAGAACTTTGCTTATAACTTCTTTTCTCTCAAGGTTTGAAACACTGTCCTCGGGTGCTGCTCATGATCCTCCCGACTCCGGGAGTACACCAGAATGTCGTCAATAAGCACAATGACGAAAGAGTCAAGATAAGCCTGAAATACACTGTGCATCAAATGCATAAATGTTGTTGGGGAACTGGTCAGCCCAAATGACATCACAAAGAACTTGTAATGTCCATACCGAGTCCTGAAAGCAATCTTCGGGATATCTGGCTCCCGAATCTTCAACTGATGATTGCTTGAATGCAAGTCAATCTTGGAAAACACTCTGGCACCCTGTAACTGATCAAATAAGTCATCAATATGAGGCAAAGGATATCTGTTCTTCACTGTAACTTTGTTCAACTGGCGATAATCAATGCACATACGCATAGAACCATCCTTTTTCTTTACGAACAATACCAGGGCACCCCAAGGTGACATACTGGGCTGGGTGAAGCCATTATCAAGCAACTCCTGTAACTGCTCCTTCAACTCCTTCAACTCAGGAGGAGCCATATGATATGGAGAAATAGAGATGGACCGAGTGCCCGGCAACAAATCAATGCCAAAATCAATATCTCTGTTGGGCGGCATGTCCGGAAGATCAGCTGGAAACATATCTGGAAAGTCCCTCACTACTGGATATGACTCAACTGTAGGGGTATCAATACTGACATCTCTCACATAATCTAGATACGCGTCACATCCCTTCTCATCCATTCGTTGAGCTTTAAGAAATGAAATAACTCTACTGGGAGTGTAATATAAGGTACCCCTCCACTCTAATCGCTGTAAACCTGGCATAGCTAGCGTCGTGGTCTTGGCGTGACAGTCAAGAATAGCATAATGGGGTGACAATCAGTCCATGCCCAAGATAACATCAAAGTCTACCATACTGAGCAATAATAAATCGGCTCTGGTCTCAATACCACTAAGAGCAATCAAACAGGATCGGTACACGCGGTCCACAACAAGAGAATCTCCCACATGAGTAGACACATAAACAGGGGAACTCAAAGAATCCCGAGATACGCCCAAATACGGGGAAAAATAAGATGACACATAGCAATATGTGGAGCCTGGATCAAATAAAACTGACGCATCTCTGTGACAGATCGGAACAATACCTGTAATGACAGGGTTGGAAGCAACTGCCTCTAATATCTGGCCTTGCCTCCCCATCTAGGGCGACCTCTACCTCCTCGACCTCCACCTCGAGCTGGCTGAGCAGCTGGAGAAGTGACTGGTGCTGAAATCATAGCCTAGGGACCCTGTGGAGCACGTTGTGGCTGAGATGTCTATGGCGGTGCACCCCTCCTAAGTCTGGGAAAATCCCTTACCATATGGCGAGTATCGCCACACTCAAAACAAGCTCTGGGAGGGCGTGGCTGTGGTGACTGGCTCGGGCCAGGTCTGCTGGACTGACCGCTAAAAACACCCTGTGCAGGAGGCACACTAGATACTGGAGGTGCATAATAAGGCTCCTGAGGTCTAGAAGTAGCCGGAACACCATTGGCGGTTGGAAGAGCTGAATGAACGAGGCGACTCACATAGCCCCTACCATGTCGAACTGCAGCTGGGGCACGAGTACCAGAATAAGAACCGGTCTCTCGAGACCTCTTGGCCTCTCTCTCCTCCCTCTCCCGAGCAAGCATGCCCTCTACTCTCCTAGCAATACTCACAACCTGCTGATACGAAATATCCATCTCTAACTCCTGGGCCATGCTAGTCCTGATGCTGGGATGGAGCCTCTCAAACCGATGAACCCTCTCTCGAACTGTAGAAACCAAGGCCAGTGCATGTCAAGCCAATCACTGAAATGAACTGCATACTCGGAGATAGTCATAGCACCCTGGCGCAACTGCTCAAACTCTACGCGCCATGCTTCCCTGAGGCTCTGAGGGACATACTCTCTCAATAACGTGTCCGAGAACTGAGTCCATGTAAGTGAAGTTGCCTCAGCCGGACTGTCTAACTCATAAGCTGCTCCTCTAAGCTGAAACGCAGTGAAAGAAACCCCACTCGACTCTGCTATGCCCATAGTACGGAGGATACGGTGGCACTCCTCTAAAAAGCCCTGAGCATCCTCTGTTGCAAAACCACTAAAGGTAGGAGGGTGGTACTTCTTGTACCTATCGAGCCTACGCTATTCCTCCTCAAAAACTGTTGCCCTACCCCCGGGCTAAAATGGGGCTACAGGTGGCACCGGTATAACCTCTGGAACCTGATCAATCTGAACTCGCTGCTCTGGATGCGGGCGGCGCGAGTCTGTGCTCCTCCCCCGAACTGAGATGTGGCAGGAGCATGGGGAATCAATCCAGCCTGAGCTAGAGTACCGAACATGCTCATGAACTGTGCAAGGGTCTCCTGAAGAGCTGGTGCAGTAGTAGTAGGCATCTCAGATGCCTGCGCTCCGACCGGAGCTACTAGTGGCTCCTCCGTGGCAGCTCGTGCGGGTGCTCTGGCTACACCACGTGGACGTCCTCGGCCTCTACCCCGGCCCCGGCCTCTAGCAGCTCTAGCAGGGGGCACGGGTGCCTAGTCATCTCCGGCTGTATGTTTCCTCGCCATCTGTGAGAGAATAGAAGACAGAAGTTCAGAATTTCGAAGTCAACAAATTTTCGCACGACAAGGAAATCAAAGAAGTGTAACTTTCCTAACAGTTCCATAGCCTCCCGAAGATAAGTACAAACGCCTCTGTACCGATCCGCCAGACTCTAAATAACCGGCTTGTGACTCACGACACTTATGAACCTAGGGATCTAATACCAGCTTGTCACGACCCAATTTTCCCTCCGTAAGACGTCGTGACGGCACCTAGTCTCTACGACTAGGTAAGCCTAAACAATTACGGAAATAATAGGAACAGAAGTAAAACTTACAATTAACTGCAACAATAATAACATAACTGAAAACCATGCCGCCCGGCATATACAATAACCAACTCCTCAATACTACACAGTCTTCCCAAAACCCGGAACATCGTGAGTCACAAACTACAGAAAGAAAACTAGTGTCTCCATACATTAGAGTATAACAAAAGAAGTCAAGAAGATAATGGACGTAGGGGAGAATAGAGGGGGACTCCGAGTTATGCGAACGCGACAGATGTAACTTGAAGTCTCCGTAGCAGCAACATGTGCACAACTAATAGCGAGGCTGGAATATTGTACCTGGATCTGCACACGAAAAACATGTGCAGAAGAGTAGCATGAGTACACCACAACGGTACCTAGTACGTGCCAAGCCTAACCTCGGTCGAGTAGTGACGAAGTCAAGTCAGGGCCATATATATATATAAAGTAAGACGGAACGTAACGTCGCAGTATAGTAAAGGACTGAATTGTACCAAGAAGGAAATCACAGAAAAACAATACAGTACAGTGTACAGAAATAAGAACAGGGGATCTTCCGAGATACCGTCTCGTAGTCCCAAAAGTAACTGTGCAGGGGGATCTTCTGGGATACCGTCCCGTAGTCCCAAAGTAAATATGCAGGGGGATCTCCTGGAATACCGTTCCGTAGTCCCAAAAGTAAATGTGCAGGGGGATCTCTCGGGATACCGTCCCGTAGTCCCAAAGTAAATATGCAGGGGGATCTCCCGGGATACCCTCCCGTAGTCCTAAAGTAAATATGCAGGGGGATCTCCCAGAATACCATTCCATAGTCTCAAAATAAATACGCAGCTCAAACAATGGAGATAACAACTATAACACGAAATCCTACAATTTAGACTAAGTACAAGTCAAGGAAGAAGCAGGAAATCCACTAAGCATGCTGCACAGCATTCAGATAAACATTTAAGACATGTAGGCATGTTATTCTAGGCTAAACAGGGTAATTACACATGCTAGTATAACTCAATTAAAGTGAACAGATCATTACTCAATGAAAAATGGGGTTTTGCAATAATTAGCCCGTGTACGTACTCGTCACTTCGCGTACACGGTGTTCACATATCAGAACAGTACCAAATCCTAAGGGGAATTCCCCCACACAAGGTTAGGCGGGCCACTTACCTCAACCGAAGCTCACTCCATCGTTAAAAATGCCTTTTCCACGAATATCCGACTCCGAGTGGCCCAAATCTAGCCAAAAGCAATTACAGATCATAAATATAACTATAAAAGACTAATCTAATTAATGAAATCAAGACTTTAATAAGAAATTCGAAAATCACCCTAAAAAGTCTCCCCGCGCCCACGTCTCGGAATCGTGTAAAAGTCACAAAATATGAACACCATCCACTCACGAGATCACTCGTACCAAAATTATCCAAATCCGATATCAAAATCCAAAATCTTAGTTGAAGAACTTCAACCCGTTTTCCCCCAAATTTCTCAACCAAAATCCTTAATTAAATGATGAAATCAACCATAGTTTAGTGGGAAATAACAATAAAGGAGTAAAGAATCGTTACCCAAAAGCTTTCTCTGAAAATTCCTCAAATAATCGCCCAATCCAAGCTCTTAATGTCCCAAAATTGAAAACGGAATAAAACCCTCGAACTTGCCCTTTTCTGCCCAGCAATTTAGCATCTGCGGGCCTATAATCGCACATGCGACACCGCACCTATAGAAATTCCATCGCAGGTGTGGACTTAACTTAAATCCCTTGGGTCCGCATCTGCGATAAGGTGGCCGCACTTGTATGTGCGCACATGTGGACAATGGTCCGCTTCTGCGATCTCCCTCCACACATGCGGTCCCTCTAGCGCATCTGCGGGCATCGCAGATGCGGCATTTTCCTTGCACCTGTGACCCCTAGCAACTCCTCCCATCTCCGCTTCTACGCCTGACTTCACGCACGTGCGATCCCGCACCTACGATCACCACACCGCAAGTGCGAAAACACCAGATGCCTGAAGACTTCAGCAATAACACAAGTCCAATTTTTGATCCGTTACGCATCTGAAACTCACCCGAGGCACCCGGGACCTCAACCAAACATACCAACCAGTTCTAAAAAACCATACGCACTTATTCGAGCCCTCAAATCACATCAAACAATGCTAAAAACACGAATCACCCCCAATCAAAACTTAATGAACTTGAAACTTCAAATTCCTACAACCAATGCCGAAACCTATCAAACCACGTCCGATTGACCTCAAATTCTGCGCAGAAGTCATATTCAACATTATCGACCTACTCCAACTTCCGGAATAGGAATCCGACCCCGATATCAAAAAGTCCACTACCGGTCAAAATCTTACAAGATTAAACTTTCATTTCAAGCCTAAATCAGCTACAGACCTCCAAAATTTCGGGCACGCCCCTGAGTCCAAAATACCCAACGAAGCTAACGGAACCGACGAAATTCCATTCCGGAGTCGTCTTCACATAGTTTCGACTACGGTCAAAATCCTAAGGCTTAAGCTTCCGTTTAGGGACTGTGTCCAAAAACATTCCAAAAACCAAAACAAAACCTCCCAACAAGTCACATAGGCTAAAACAGGTATTGAGAAAGCAGTAAATGGGGGATTGAGGATAATACTCTCAAAACGGCCGGTCGGGTCGTTACAGTCGAAGTTTTGGTGGTGGCTGGCGATGGATTTCAGGTGGCGGTCAGGCAGATTTGAAATGTCAGAAAAATTCACATTTGAAATTAAATATCTTCAAACTGCTATGGGGCGATAGAATTCCATTGATAAGTTCTGAAACTAATTTCAGAATTTTTGTCGAAAAATGGTTTAAATTTGTTAACCAATTCTAATTACACACTATTTTAAAACACACAGAAACACAATTGATTCACACAACTGATGTGTGTTTTTTAATTTTTTTTATTTTTTATTATTACTATTAATAATTATTTATCAAATATGAAAACTTATTTTGACTGATTAAACAAATATGTTAAATAGATTAACAGTCTCAATTGCACAGTAAAAGAGATACATGTATATGACGTTCTAGATTTACATATAAATTTAGAACTATTTTATACATGTATCCGGACCAGAAAACCAGCCTATGGCTCTGATACCAATATTGGAACGCAATAAATCTAAACACATTTGATTGCGCATAAATCATAAACAGAGAACTTACTTATTCTTTGTAGCGGAAGCGAAAACGGATGAACCACGCTTGGGATTACTGGTCGGTGATGGTTTTCACAGTGTATTGGATCAACCCTCTAAGCCACAGTCTAAACCCAAGGTTGGATTAAGAGACAGA